TTTTTATTTTAATAATTATTGTCATATTAGATTTACTTTTAGTAAAAAAACTCAAAATAAATAGATAAATAGGTAATTTGTGTTTTAAAAACTCTTTAAAAATCTCTTTTTTGTATCAGTTAATAAATAATTTTTTATATTAATAATACTTGTCTAATTAGGTTTTATTTTATTAAAAAACTCATGATAAATTGATAATTTGATAATTTGTGTTTGAGTTTTATACAAACTCTTTAAATATATCTTTGTTGATAGAGTTTTATTGATAATAAAATAGGTAATTTGTAATAGAGTTTTATTGAAATTATTTTATTTTCTTTAAATATATAGTTGTCTAATTAGTTTTAATTTTATTAAGATACTCATAATAAAAGTTAATTTGTGATAGAGTTTTATATAAATTATTTTATTTTATATATCAATTAATAAATATTTTTTATATTAATAAATCTTGTCTAATTAGATTTTCTTTTATTAAAAATGGATAATAATAAATAGATAAATAGGTTAATTTAAATTTTATTAGGTAGATTTTACTGTTTTATAGATTTTTTTTAGTAAAAACTTTTTTCATATCATTTAATAAATATTTTTTATATAAATAAATAATGAAACTCTTTACACATCTAATAATAATATAGATAAAAACTCTTTTTATATCAATTAATAAATATTTTTTTATATAAATAAATACTGAAAATTCTTGACAGAGTTTTTGTATTTTACTCTGAAATTCAACTCAATTAATAAATATTTTTTATATAAATAAATAAATATTGACATACTAAAACTCTTTGGTAGAGCTTCTGTATTTTACTCTGAAATTCTGAATTTATAGAATTCTCAATTTCTGTACCCCTTCCTCCATGCCTCTATTTATAGGCTTCTTTAATGAATAGGATGATAAGATATGTCCTTTTCTGATAATGATATAATCATAATTGGGCCGGGCCGCCGGTTATATTGTGATAATTATTTATAAGAAATAACTAAAAATAAGAGTTATATAGAATGTGATTGATTTTATTAGGTAATTTTTAGAGTTTTATAGAAACTATAATTATCCATAAAAAATAACTAAAAATAAGAGTTTTATATAAAATGTGATTGATTTTATTAGATAATTTTTAAAGTTTTATAGAAACTATTTTTACAAAAACTACTTTTATATCAATTAATAAATATTTTTTTTTATAAATAAATAAATACTGAAACACTGAAACACTTTGCACATTTAATAATAATATAGATATATATTTGTGTCTTCTTCAAAACAAATGCAATAATCTCTCGTCTCCAAATTTTCACCCAAATTTAATTATTCTACCGAATTACCCGTTAACTTTTATTGTACCTGCAGTTAAATATACACAGAAAAGACTGAAACACCCTTCTATAATTGAATAAAAAATGAGTATTAAAAAACTACTTAAAAGTGAAATGATTCAAACGGGCAGAGAGAAATAACCCGGTCGTTCTTTATACCGCCACCTCCTACCACCGTGGCCCAGAGTACCATATATTTATACCCGGTCGTTCTTTATACCGCCACCTCCTACCACCGTGGCCCAGAGTACCATATATTTATACGGGCGAATTGGCCATGTGTGTTTTTTTGTTTCCTGATGATCATGTATGGAATTTTCGCAACCTAACCACTGAGCGAGTACACTACAGTACATCATTTTTAAATCAACAACAATGTAAAAAAAATAATTTTTAAATTATTTTCACGATGGATGTGTAACATATTTCGTTTTTAAATTAGTTATATGAGTAGTAGAAGAGTTTTAGTAAGCATTTTTTTGCCAAACAGACAAAAAAAAATTCTTCTAACATTAAAAATTCTTCTAAAATGCAATTCCCAAACACTATGTTAGTGACTCACTCTCGTTAAGCTACCCACCTATTTATAGTAATCCTACATAATCCCCTACAAAAATGATCTAATCAACCTTATAAAACTCTTTATTATTCTACACTATTATTTCCGCTACAAAGATTTACAATTTTCTTCAATATTCTATATTCTTTCAACCCTTCATACTTGTCTACCCACAAACAGATAAAATTAACCACCTAATTCTCCCTTAAATATTCGCTCGAAATTTTGTTTTTACGAGTCTTTGACACTGCTACTTGCTTCATGGTATATATATTTTACAGCCATTTCAGCTATACTTATACTATATATTGTAGATGTTTCACTTTCTTTAAAATTTGTAATAGAACTCATCTATCAAAAAGAGAAAAAAATAAATTAAAAAAATTAAAGAAAGGGAAAATTACCACAAAAAAAAAATGTTCTATTTATTATTATTTATTTAAAAAAAACACTATCACCTAACATCTTTAAGTAAAGTTTTATAATTAGGATAAACTGATTGTGTGCTTTGTTTACTTCCTCAATAAAGAAAAAGAAGGAAAAAAAGAAAAAAAGAGATGGATGGTCCAAATGTCCAATACCTAGTATTATACATAATCTAATATCTAGTAACATGACCTAAAATCTAATATTTCTTACCTTGTTAAAAATAAATAAAGATTCTTATTGGACTTTTTACTTATGAAATCAACTCAAAGAACACATAAATTAAAAGTGAAAAAAAAAACATTTTTACTTATGAAATCAACTCAAAGAACACATAAATTAAAAGTGAAAAAAAAACACATAAATTAAAACTCTCGATACCAAGATAAATAACGCAGAAGAAAAAAAAAATTAACAAAGAGGAGATATCCTCACACCTTATGGGTGAGGTTAATTCGCCTCATGGCACACACAACACTTTACAAGTCATGTGTACCAGGTTAGACCAGGTAAGTCAATTACATCTTAACCTAGGTAAGTCTAAGGCTTAGCTTGACTACATCTTAATCTATGTGGGTAGTGGGTACCCCCAACGAAAATTTTATATTCTTTTCGAAAGATACCCTTAACGAAAATTGTTTACTTATAGATTCAAACCTAGAAATGATACTTCATGAGATATTAGGACCTGAGTTGTCCCTCCGAAAATTCGAACCCTCGCCGTTCACTTTCGGAGATAAATGAAAAATATACCACTAAACCACAAGGCTTTTTTTTTTTCTTCTTAAATTAAAGCAATTTTCAGATATATATATATATGTGTGTGTGTGTGTGTACATTTAGCTGCCTTGGCCCAAAAACGAACTAAACCACAAGGCCTTACTAAAATGAAAATTATACATGTATATTTTCATGACTTTGTTACACGTGTTAATTTGTAATCTTATATTTTGGAAAATATTGTAATCTAAATTCTTCTCACTTTATTTTAGAGGTATGTCACCATATGTTGTCTATACAGGTCGCAAACCTTATGACAGTGGATATCTCATTTTTTAAAATAAAAATTGACTCAGTGGATTGTCAATTTTTATAATGAAAATAGACCAGAAGACAATATTAGCATTTAAAATTTTAAAAAAGGTTTTGACACTTATTCTTTTAATATTTAAATTCAAGAATCATGACTCTGAGGCCTATTTTGAACTTTCAATATCGAATACTTTTTGACACTTAAAAATGATAAAATTATTGGACCCGTCTTATGGTGTGCCAACGACACCAATTAACTTCCCCAAAAAAAGAGATGAGCTACTATGCATATCTTTGCAACACAATATCCAAAGTTCAACAGGTCCAAGCCCAAAAAGAATTATTTTAAACAACTGCTTTAAAGGCCCAATCCCAAGCCCAAGCCCAAGATTAAAGCCTTCCCTTCCACAAAAATTGAGTGCCCCTTTGGGCCCAAATCACTAATCAAATTAGCTACTTTGAATTCAATTTTTCATTCATCCCAAACGGTTTTTTTAAACAAATATAAACTCATCTCAAATTTTGACCCAAAATTTGGTCACTACATGCTACATAATATAGATCATTCATCTACTTTTGAAGAGAAATACCTTCTAATATAAACTCATCTCAAATTTTGACCCAAAATTTGGTCGCTATATGCTACTTAGTATATTTTCTTTAAATTGTAACCCATCTTGTGGGGTTTTGATTCTTGGACCATATTAGTCATCACACCTTGAAAAAAGAGTTTAGTTATAGTAAAAATTCGAGTCCACCAACATGGTATTAGAATTAATTCTATAAATAGGCCAAAAACACATGACTAATGTTAAAGTAGGAACAAATTTGAGTGGTATGTCAAAAGTCTAAACTAAAAATGAAATTGAGAGAAAGGTTTTATATTGAGGATTCCTCAACTTAAATTTAGGACTCTTTACAAAAATAAATAAATAAATAAATTGAATTTATGACTTGTAGAGCCTTGATTTTAATAATATATTTTATTAATAGCATATCTATTTAATATTCGATTATCATAAAATCAAAAGAAAGGTGTATTGCGTTACTTACCTCTCATGTTCTGATACTTGCAAAAAGGAAAATTTGTGATGACCCTTACTTTTATTTTAAATTTTTTTCAAGCCTGATGAAAGCCTTATTATTAATATTAATTTTTTTTTTTTTGAAGGGGAAATTTAGATTTTAGCGAGCAAATTTAATCAAAATGATTCTAACGTAATTATAAAATAAAGAAAAAATAAATAGTTACCAAAAGTAAAATTTAAATGCTAATAATTGACCATGTAAGATTTATTTCATAAAATGCACTTTTAATAATAAATTATTTTGAGTTAAAATTAGATTTTAGTGACCAAAATTAAAAATAATAATTTTAAAATTACAAAAAAATTAATAGTCATCTATCCAAAGAATATATTTACATAAATACTCAAACATAATAGTTATTTTCAGTTTTTGAACTTAGATTTCTATTATCTACTACCTGTCCTAAAAAAAGAAAAAGCCTCTTTGGGTCAATGTAAGATTAATTTATCACCATTTTAGGACAATTATAATTAAATTTAGCCAGTAAAATTTATTTTTTCTTATTTAATGTACAGACGAGAATAAAAAAATAGAAAGAAAATGTTTTTTTATCAAGTGGACAATAATTTCCCATTTACAGACTGTTTCAAAGTTTAGAGTACTAAAATGGTTTCTCCATTTCCCTAAAAAGTTTCGGTGCCAGAGAATCGGATGCGACGCCGTGTTCATGGAGGACGATAACCCTCAAGGTTCATGTAGATACCACGATTCTGTGAGTGCCTTCTTCAATTACAATCTCTCTCTACACTTTTGTCAAATTTTGTTTGAATACTTATGGCTTCTGTTAATTCTGATTAGTGTTTCTTCATCTTCGTTGATTTAATAGTTCATAAAATTGATGAACAGGATTAACTTGATATGTACATATAGTAATTATATATACACTGTTCACACATACACACACGAGTATTTGTGTGGGTTTATGTATGCATATAGCTATATGTGCCCTTAATTAAGCTAATTAAAATGCGGATGCAAAGATTTGTTTGTGATTATTGGTGGTGAAACTATTGGAACTTTAATGAACTTTAATGAACTATCTGTAGTTGTAATTTGAGAATGTACTTGTGTACTTGAAATTACATTGATTCTGACTTTGATGGTAACCTTTATTTATTTATTTATTTGCATGACGGTACTAATTGGTTCATTTATGGATTATATGGGTTTCTTTGAAGGGGGTAATGTCAAAGATTCATGCTATCTTTTTTCTCACCATTCCGAAAAAGGGAAATTCAAGGAGATGTGTTAAAATTTCTACTAGTCATATATCTCGAATTACATTAAAAAAGTTAAAAAGTTTCTGGCATTATATAACAAATTAGAAGTTTCAGTTGAAGATTGCGTGCTAATATTAGCCTAATTTAGCTAAGTTTTGTTTGTTGATTTCCTAGAGTTCTCTTCTGAACTAGCTGCTGCTTAGTTTATAGTAGCCTTTACTGTTTAGAATCTTTGTCTGAAGCGTTTAATGTTTGTTAATTCTTTGCTGATTTTCAATTCTGATGACTAGATTTGGAAAAGTTGGTTGGGAGGATTTTGATTATGGAAGATAGCATCTATGACATCGTAAGTGGTTTTGCTACACTATTGAACTTAGACTGTGTTGACATGTCCCTTCTTCAACTGTATAGATTATAGAAACTTATACTGTGACCTCCACCAATTTGCTGGGTCAAATCTTACACATTTCTTTATGTTATCTTATGAAATGTTGTATATATAAGAAGACACTCTAACATTGTTTGTATAGTGCAGACCTCTTATATTGATAGAATCAATTTTGAAATATGAAGTCCTTAATGTGCATTTGCTAATTAAGCTCTCTCATCATGCATGATTGGGCTAGGTTTTGCTGCGTGGGCATATCCATTTCATCAGGGTGTAAGTTGAATTTTCATCCATCTAATTAGAGATTCCCTTTCTCCTTTTCTGATTACACTATGTACTATCATCCTTGACATATTTCCAGAATTTTAACATGAACATTGTATTTTCCAGCCTCTATTTCATGATGGGATCAAAGAATATGTCATGATTTCAGCTTATTTCTAGAAATTCCAGGGTTTGCACTGAAGTTTCTTTTTAAGCCCATTGCCCCAATGTGAGAATTTTAATGTTGGTACGTTAGATTAATGTGTATTAGAAATAGGCCATAAACTAAATCACAACACAGGAATTCTGTTACTGATAAACTGCTTGATACATGGCACCACAACATGATTTTGAGTTCCAATATGATCATGTACGTTTTGAAATTATTGCATTCGATCCTATTAACACTAGAGTCTATTTGTTTTTATTGATACTTGTTTGAAGAAAAGAAAAGATGGAAATCAAAGGCAGCAAAGGAAAAATGAGATGGAAATCACATACGTAACAAAGAACAAGATTTATGTGGTTCAACAAATTATCAAGAAAAGAAAAGATTACAACTATCAACGGGTTACCAAGAGGTATTTAACACTGACGAAATACACTCACTCTTTGGCCCTCACTAGCTTCACTCTATTTTTCCTCTCTCTTTTTTCTTCACTCTAATTTTTTTTTTTTCATTCGGCTCTTCACACCACATTCTGTTTTACCATGCCTATATTTATAGGCGGCTATTACCGTGTTTAGCCAAAGGCACATGTAACGTGCCAACACAATCCTCTTGTTACAACCAATCACAACACATTCTTTCTTTTCCTTTCACTTCGGCACCTTTTACAACTCACTGGATTTACTGCATTCACAGTTTCACACTGCACCTCATTTTTTTTTTTTTTTTTTCCTAATACAATGCTGCCACTACATTTAATGCACACTCTTCCAGTCTTCCTTTCACCATTCATCATTCACCATTCACCAGCACACGCATCACTCGTCCAATTAATTTGAGCAAACTCTGCAAGAACTTTAGGTGCGCTTGGTGACTCGGGAACATTAAGGTTCAACTCAATAGCAACTTCAACGAAGAATGATATTGATTTCTCTGATAATTCCATATGGCAATTTTAAAATGTCAAGTGAAGTAGACAATTATGCCATCATCATTATCCTTGTCTTAATCCCATATGGAATGGCTGGTCGCATGAATTCTCTTTTTTCAATTTTTTATTACAAGCCTCTCTTACAACTACAATATTTAACTTTTTGAAATCATTTTTAATGATTTCATCCCATGTTATATGTAAATTAGTCTCCCTCTTCTTACCGGAGCATCTATAGATTTTCTTTGGTTATGTCCATACTACCTCAGTCTATTTTCTCACATCTTATCACTAATAGGCGTCACTCCTAATTTCTCCTCACATTGTGATTATTAACCTTTCTCTTGTAGTCACCCCTATCGTCTATCTTAACATCCCCATTTTTTCCCCTAGTTAACATCCCCATTTTCACTACATGAATTTGTTGTTCTTGTTTCTTTTTAAAGCCCAACACTCTGAATCATATAAAATAGTTGTCCTAATAAATGTTCGATAAAAATTTTCTTTTAATATGTGTTATTCTTTTATTGCATAAAATTTCACTAGCATGTCTTCATTTTGTCCAATCTGTTCCAATTCTACTAATTATATCACCATCAATCTCACAATTCTTTTGTATTTTTGACCCTAACTATCGAAAATGGTTATTTTGGATAATCTTTTACTTTTGAAGCATGATTATTATGTCACCAAAATCCGGCTCTTTAGTAAATTTACATTCCATATATTCAGTTTTAATAATTAACTTGATAGTAATGCTTCATAATGGAGCGATTTAATGTAAGTTTGTTTGAAGTGTTAGGTCGGGCATGCTTCCTGAACACAATAAATAATTAATGTCAGAGATCTTTGTTGGATCTGTTCCTAACACTCTTTAGTAATTCTTTGAGAAGTGCATTCCTCTTTTCTTTTTTATGATGTCTGCTTGCATCAATTTCAAATGAGGAAAAGAAAATCATGGTTTGCCCTTGGTGCGAAATTTCTTCTGCCTGTTTCTACGGTGAATAACCATGGTACTGATATATGTGCTTGTTACCTCTTGCATGAATAGGTGGATTAAATTGTCAAGTGTTTCTTTCTTTCATTGATTATCAATATTTTCAAGGGTGAATTACATTGACACCCCCTCATGTTTGGCCAAATATCATACCGAAACACCTTTAAAAAATAACTATCACTCACATTACAAAAGTTTGATCCGTTTTTCACTCCTACCCCAAAAGTTACTTTTCAGATGTGTCAAACCACTTTGTACATGTAAAAAGACATTGTTAGCCGTTTGACTTTGATTTGACTCATTATAATGTTTTTTTGATGATAAAATGACATTTCTACCCTTCATTGTTCCATAAAATCAGTTACTAGCCGTTGCATTTTTGTAGAAGGGTTTGGTTTTTATATAGATTTGTCTCATTGGGTGTCTTTTTTGTGTCTCATATCTGCCTGAATTCGAAGTTTGGCTTTAGAGAAAATCGAAGACAATGTTGCCTCAAAAGCAAGCAGAGGAAGCTATTGTCCCCTACATTGAGATAGAGCATGAGGGAAGAAGAGAAGCAGCAAGATCATCACTCCATTTCCAGTGTCAAGAAAATACTCTGGCCTGGTGGGTCTGCTTGGGACGCTTGGTTCAGTTGTCCTTCTAATCAAGTAATATATATTTTTCATGTGCTTCGAATTCAAGGTCCTCCTAAATAGATCGTTTGGTGCAAATCCAAATCCAACCTTATCAAAACAAGTGGCAGCATGTACAAATTACGTACTTTAATATTCCAAAGAAAAAGATTGAGGGTTTTTACGGCTCAGACACTGGATTGTGTTTGCTTTTTTAGAGCCGAATGAGTCTAGCTAAAAATGGACAGAAGTTTGGTGTTGAATGCCCCCAAAAATTACAGTAGTTATAGAAGACAAGAAAGAACCAATACTGCAAACTGGAACTATTTAGAATGGAACATCACTTACTTTAATTTACCTAATTGTGGAAAACGTCAAAACTTTCTTGAAACCTAGTTAATTGAATATGTAATTGAAAACTTCTTCAATAATGAATAGTTATCTGGACCATTCTAATTGAATGTATGGGTTCAAATAGGGGCTTGTGGCATTGATCACTTGCCTCTGCGATCCTGCATGGTGTAAAACTTAAAAAAAAAAAAAAAATGGGATTAGTAGAGGTTGGGAAGTAGGTGCATGGTTACCGGACATTGCGTTATTCCTTTGATTTGAGTTGGGGGCAATACCACAAGCAGGTGGGATCAGAAGTCAGAACAGTACATCAAGAATTCCAGGATTAAAGCACTAAACCAAACAGGCAGGGGAAACTGGACATGTCATTTTTGGTGATTGTTAATCAAGTTGATGTTTAGATTGGATTCTTGTTAAGAATGACTATCATGAAAAAACTTCTTATCTCGTGGTAATTGCATTCACACGATAATTTCTATAAGTCATTTGGGGTAGTTTTGTCATAAAAAAATTGAAACACCTTTGTTGTAAATCAACAAGAAGTCAAAAGGGTAACATAGTCATTTTGTATGTAAAGTATTCTTGCACCCGTAAAAAGTGACATTTGGGGGTGGAAGTGAAATACATTTGAGTGAGTGTAATTTACCTTTTATACAAATATCCACAATTTATATACGTGTGTTTATATATAGAAAGAGGAGAGAGAGAAAGGATGGTGTATTTGGCGCGATCCGAATCCCCTCCTGTGGCGGAAATCACATGACCTAGCCTTAAAATGTTGATGTTTGGAGGTACAGTTGGAGGTAACTTAAACCTAATTAAGGCGGTATTTGTCCCTTCCTTTAAATAACCTGTTTGTTTTTGAAAAATTAACCGACCTTCAAAATAAATCAACGTGAAGAAAATAATTGAAAAAAATTAAAAGATTTTCAATAGAGAAGAACAATGTGTGATTATATATATATATATATTTATATATATGTTTTGATTTTTGAGTGTATTTGGGTTTTTGTTCAAATTAGATATATATATATGAATTTAGGTACCACAGGATCTCCTCAACTATAGGGGATCCAAGTGCCATATTTGACCAAATTTGAAGGAGTGTTAATGTAATTTATCCTATTTTCAAACTAATTTCATGAAAAAAGAAGAAGAAGAAGTCTGTTTTAATGATTTTATTAAACCACAAGGTTGGTGCACTTGGTGCCGCGTAGACAAACATCTAATCTTTTTTAGCCAAATAGCTAGCCATATGAGTAATAAATCACATGAGATTAACTCATCGAATACCAATCCAAGGCTAACTTCCATTCCGTGGTTCCACTTGTTTGAATCCAGACAGGTTGGAAAAACAGCAAAAAGAGAGTCTCTTTTAAGCTTTTATTCCCCCCCAAACAAAAAAAAAAAAAACTTTATTCCCCCCCACACCCCCCTCCCCCCCAAAAAAAAAAAAACTTTCGAGTAAAAATCCCACTTTCGGTCTCCAATGCAAAATGTAGAAAAAAACCATTTAGACTTCAGCTACAACTTAACCTTCCTTATCTTTTAGCATTTTTGGTTACAAAAATGTTATCCGGACCACTCATGGAAGTGTTTGGTTCCATCACCACGGCTACGTAGTGGGATAATTGGCTTCTTTAATTACCATCTTTATAATATATATATATATATATATATTGAAAGGTAAATCTTTATGATATTATCTTAATTGAAAAGAAAAGAAAAGAAAGGAAAGTGACAATCTTTAATTAGTAATGTGAACTAAAAAGCAACAATCAGAAACCAAACAAGGGATCATCAACTTTTAAACAGCAATCATTGACGTCCCCAACTTGATCTGTGCTTAATTTTTCGACCATGTTTTTTTATTAATATCTTTTCAAATTAGTCCCCATGCAAGTATACAACTGCTACTTAAAAAAAAATAAAAAAAGGCAGTTAAACGGAACTGCATGAAATACAAGTGAAATCATATGCGGTAGAAGACGATGAAATACAAAGTGAAAAAGAATTCTTATGTCATCTAAAGAAATGGTAGAATTAAGAATTCTAACTGTTCTTCATTGCCAAAAAAAAAAAATTTACCAAAGATGGATATATACAAAAAAAAAAAAAAAAAAAAAAAAAATCCAAAAAAAGAAGAAGAAGAAAAGGAAGAAAGAAAGAAAGAAACAACACAGTAGACAATCAACATGCACGAAGGAATTTGAAGCTAAATGAGAACGTCTTGTGGCTAACTATTACAAGGGGGTCTTGTCCCACATTGAATTCGGATAGGGAAACAAATAGAAATATAAAGGTTGAATGTTAACTCCACCTAAAAATTTCAACTTTTGGATCAGATCACGAAACACCCAACCCATTACAGACGCTAAGCGTAGCATTAAGAGATTTGCCCTATTAATAATTGTAATATACGAGTTAGCCTCAAAGTCCTTCAATAAAATATTTATTTTTCATGCAAAATATCACCTCTTGTAAGTGATCAAACTAGCCTTGCAGCAACATTAAGCAATGGGTGGGTTACATGCTAGCAAAGTGAAGTTCCTACATCTCAATATGTAAAACATATGCTTTAAGCATCTACCACTAGTGTGGATAAGATCTAAATGAAGGTTCCCTATAATACTGTTAGGTGTTACAATACAATAATTCAGTTTTGTTAATTTCACTTGCTTTCTGAGCATTAAAAGTAGGCAATGACTACTATTGCACTTCTATTTCTCCCTTCAAAACAATGCGCGCACCAGAACCTTCCCGCCTGTTTGTTCGACATGATCAATAAAATCATGACCTTCTTCAAAGATTTTTGCTCAAATTTGTATATCTTCGTTGTCCCATATCTGTCATCATTATAAAGTAGTTTCTAAAAAAGGTTTCACAGAAGTTGATAATGCATGGCACGATAGTTGTACACTCAGCCTAAAAATACCAAATTTTGAACCTCTTCGATCTTCCGCTTGCTACATCCAAGGTTCGCAGTCGTGGTATCGGTCGCAGTGTAATAGAATGGAACCAGTATTGATGTTACATAACGAAATCGATTACCGCAATCGTAAAATTTTTCTAGCTTACACAGTGCTTAAAATAGAGTGATACACAAATTTTGACAACATGCATCATCCAATAAAAATGAACTTTTAATAAATTTTAGTGATTTTTATTGAATCTTTGTAGATCATATGGCCTACTTATAATTTTTGATTCGTGGTCTTAATTATATCTTTATTTGTATGCATGGTTAAGTTTTATATCATATTAATTTTTTTTTTGAAAATTAAAACAATTACGTACACGTCCTATTTCCACCGAGATTCGAACCCCAAATCTCTCCTTTGAGGAGAAAGAGGTGATACCGCTTGGTCAATTGATTATTTGGTTATATCATATTAAGTTGCACGGTTAGAGTGGATCAATATAATGTACACCAGTTATTGCATAAAGTTTGTTCCCACATTGAAAAAATGTAATTAAAAAAAAAAAAAGAAAAAAAAAATGTAATTACTCTTAGAAATGTTTTTAAACATTACTGAAGGGATGCTGAGTTATAAATAGAAAGCATCCTCTCTCCAGTGGCCCAGCAATGGCACTTGGCAGGTTAAAATGGCTGATTTGTTCAAAACCCGGCTGGTGCACTCAATCAGCAAATATGTGCATTTTACAAAAAAAAAAAAAAAAATGAAAAAAAAAAAGAAATAAAATAAATTTGACAACAAAAATACTAACCAAAATTTTTTTGGTGCAATGATACAAAGCTGGGTGCAATGATAGAAATCTTCAGTTTCAGCCTAAGTTATGAAACACCTTAAAAAATATTGTAAATGTGTAATCCAAACTCAAGGGTAATCATTTGTTGCCGCGGATATAGATTACGGACGCGTTACGCATAAGTTAAGAATAAAATTTTGACAGAAAATTATTTGTTGATTACTTGACATATTTGTTGAATGTTTACCCCGGGTAATTACTCTCCCTTCTCATTCTCACTCTTAAAACTTTGTTGATTAAAATTGAACTTCTTGTGATCTATTTATAGACATCCAATTCTACATTAATGTCTTAATTAATTATCTTTTGTAAAACTTTTTGTATATTCTAAAATATTCTTTCAAAAAATACAAATATGTACTCACTTGTATATTCTATAATATTCCAACACTCTCCATTCTTTCATACTTTGCAAAACGTGTAAAACTCTAGAACATCAGTTGCTTCACCCTACTCATCATTCCACGGTGTTAACTTTGTATTTGTGCAAAAACAGCTCAAGACCAGTACGCTTCATTTATTAAATTTATTGGAAACAGTAAAAAAAGAAAATAAATGATTTTTTTAATAGATTTTTTAGAGTTTAAATAAGAGGAAAAGTACCTTCTTCCATATTTTGCAGTCAATTTAGCTATGCGTACAATATACTATTGCATAGATGATGTTTATTAAAACTTGAGAATAGCTCTTTCAATAGAACTCATCAATCAAAAATAGGAAAAAAAAAATTAGGAGAAAAAAAAAAAAGAAGAGAAAAATAAAATAACAAGTCCTATTCCTTAAAATATAATACAACTTAACACCATCAATTTAAAGAAAAAAACAAAGGGGAAAAACAGATAGAATGATGAGGTCAAGCTCTTTGAGAGAGAGCAAGTGGCATGATATTGTTTATTTTGGGTCTAGGTTTACACAATTGTACTTTTAGAGTTTTATTCAAAACAATTTTATTCTTAAGTTTTCCCCAAAAAAATCTCATATCATTTAGAAATAGTATTAACACTTAAAAAGTACTTCACCTAGACGCTAATCGCAGCTGATCTTCTACTATCAGCTGATTTGTCCATTCACTCAATTGGCAAGGTTGGTTGATTTCTGTATGTGTGACTCATTTTTTGCCAATAGTGACTGATATTTTGGCCAACCTTCATCGCAACAAATTTTCCCCCACCACAAAAAAAAAAAAAAGAAAAAAGAAAAAATAGAAGGTACCCGCATATCTATCCATCACGTTGTCACATTAACAATTAACTTCATCCACTTCGGATATAGTCCAGCGGTTTACTCGCTGGACTTTAGAGCTTAGTAAGTCTAAGATCTAGGGTTCGCGTCCCGCTGAGTGTTTTTGGTGGCTAGCCTCCGCTGGCCTTTGCAGTGACTTACCCGACCCGGGTGGGGAAGTGCCTTTCCGGGTTCTCGGGGATTAGTCGGGTTGTTGAGTTGCCCTAAGGGTTCGTGCCATCCCGGACACCTCGAGTTAAAAAAAAAATAATAATAATAACTTCCCAAAAAAAACATAGCTACTATACATATCTTTGGAGCGCAATACTAAAAAAAAAAAAAAAAGGGTGTGCATGGTGTGATAGGCAATTTTGACACAAATATGCATTGGACACTATTAAAAGTGTGCTAGCTTCTCTCTCTCTACACAATACTCTCTATGCACCGTCTTTTGGGTCTTCTCGTGAGTTTGATTTAAGTATTAATCGAGGGTGATGAGGGATATGGGAGTGTGTGTTCCTCACCCCGTTGAGGTTCTCTGTTTATCAGAGATGAGGTTGTCTCCATGGTAGTATTTAGGTGGGTTAGTTTCCATATTTCCTTTTGTTTGTCGATCTTGTGTGTTGTTTCGCCGGAGGGGCTCTTGTGCGTGGTTGGTGGTCCCATCCACTTCTTTGGTTGATGGATGGATTGTTATCCCATCTTTGCTGCTTTTTCCCTTTGATTAAAGTATTATTAAAGTGTTGTTGGCTGTGTTTTATGTGCTAACTTTTTCTCTGTGGTGTTGTGTTTTTTGGACTCTCTGTTGGCCTTCATTTGTCACTATTTATCCGAGTGTGGCCTCTCTCCGGACTTCCATGGCGGGTCCTCTTATCAACAGCAATGAATGTATGGGTTGGGTGTTGCAGGTCATTCCCCTTATATCCTCGGCATATATGGTATCCTGTGGGGTTGGACCTTGATTGGGGACTTAGTTCGGGAGCCGTTGTACTATCGGCCCTGGTGTTATTCTAGGCGCTAGTTTCATCCCCGCTTTCTTTGGATTGGTTGTTGCAAATTGGTCGCCGACCAGTCAGCTGGTTTGATAGTCGATTTGTCGGCTTAGTGGGTCAGTACATCCTTGGTGGACCGGGTTGGTGCTGATGTCGTGGCGGATGTTGTTGAAGTTTCTTGTGAAAGCTTTCCGCTGGCTTGTGGTGGGCCAGAGGCACATGACGGTTTTAGATTTTTGGTTGACGGTGTTGATTTATTTATGGTTTGGTACGTTTTCCTATAATGGTATATGCCTTTTACTAAGCACTTGTGTGGTTAGGGTCAGGAAGACCATGGGCATGTGCGGATTTACAGTACGTTTCTGGCCCACCACTTTATTTTCTTTCTTGGATAGGCAAAACCTCTGGGGCTTCGTTGATAATATATTTATTTGTGGACTTCCTTGAACAACATTACGCTTCGTATTGTGATGTCATCCTCAATCCTTGATATTGGGCTCTGCTGTATTTCAATATCTTGCCTTTATAGAGTTGTCTTTTTGTCTTGGATCTCGTGGGTGCAAGCACTCCCATTTTCACTGACATTCTTTTAAGCTTTAGGTTTTTGTTAATTTTGCTGGGTGTTAGTTTTGTTTTGGGAGGTTTTATATCTAGTGTTTTCTTTGATTCATCTGTGATTTTTGTTCTTGCTTGTGTAGATGCCGTATGGAGGGTTTTTTGTCAAGGCGCAAAAATAAAAAAATAAAAAAATATGGTGTGATACGCAGGGTGTTGGTGTTTGCGGCTAAATGGCCCAAATTAGAGTCCCAATCTCATATATATATATATATATCAACTGCAAAATAAAAAAAATAAATACTATAATAAATGGTGTGCAATATATTATATTTATCTTCAACTAAAACTTAAGGTTATTTTTAATCAAGCAACCAATAAAAATCATAACAGCAAAAAAACATAACATCCATTAGATAGTTTATAGCATGTAATTGTATCAAAAGTTCATGAAAGTAACGCCATGCAATGTACGGTGTTTTTCTAAGCACTTTTTATTTCTTGATGTTCTTTTTTTAGGCTCCGTTTGTATATATATATGAAATAAAATAAAGAAAATGATAATATTAATTATGAGAGAAGAGAAAAGAAATGAAATGATACTACTCTAAATTAGGAGAGAAAAGAAAAGAAAGAAAATAATAATAATAATAATAATCTCTATTTATGTTTGGACAGATAAGAGAGAAAAGAAAATTAAAATATTCATATTTGGATAAGATTAAGGAGCGAAAAAAAAAAAAAGGGTAAAGTGCATTAAACCCCCTTGAACTATTGGTTATTTGTAAGAAACCCCCTGAACTACAAAAAACCCTCCCGAACTATGATTTTGTTGCAATTTACTCCTTTGAACTATTGATCATTTGCAAGAAACCCTCCTGAACTACAAAAAACCCCCCTGAACTATGATTTTGTTGCAATTTACCCCCATGACATCAGATTCCGGCACCGAAAATTTTGAAAGACTAGTTTACCCTTAAAACACACTGCGTCGTTTTAACTTATACACTCCTTACATTTTTTTTTCCTGCCAAAAGATGTTTTTCACCCAACACAACCCAAAACAAAGAGCTAGAGAGAGAGAGAGAAGAGATTAAAGAAATTCGAGGTCGGCGGGATGGCTCAGTCTCGGATGATGGCGGCTTGTGCGCGGAGGACTCGGCTGTGATAAGAGCTCGATTGACTCGGCAGTGAACTGTGGAGGCGGCGGTGAGCTCAAGGGGGCTCGGCGGTGAACTATAGACGACTAGGTGCTCGAAACACGGACGACGGTGTGCTCGGCTATGAAGATGGCGGAATGGGCCGACGAGCTTGGAATGGATGATGGAATGGACCGGCGAGCAAAGTGAGCTGAATGGCGAGCAAGGCGGTGACGGCGATGGGCTGACGCAACGGTGCAAAGAAGTGCGATATATATGGCCGACGGATTTGGTGGGTGGTGCAACGGCTATGATGGAGCTATGACAGGAGACCCACCGATCCCAGCAACAGATTCCTTGGCTTATCCAAATACTCCTCAGACGACATCTGCTACCTCGATCCTAGCCACAAATTTCTCGGCTTCATTGTCCCTTTCAGTCAATCAATTCGCGCGGATGGGGTAAACTGCAAAAAAACATATAGTTTAAGAAGGTTTCTTGCACATATCCTAATAGTTCAGGGAGGTTTTTTTTGTAACTTTTATAGTTCAGGGGGGTTTCTTGCACATACCCCAATAGTTCAGGGTTTTTGCAACTTTTATAGTTCAGGGGGGTTTCTTGCACATACCCCAATAGTTCAGGGGGGTTTAATGCACTTTACCCTAAAAAAAAATGATAATAGTCAAATTACTATCATACTCTTTTAATTAGTTTGGATATGGGTGGAATAACAATTTTTTCCTTCTAATTATCAAGGGTAATTTTGAAATTATAAAAATACTACTTAATCACCATACTTTCATTCTTTATCTTGTTATTTTTTGAGTGATATCATTTGAGGGTTAAGAATCCCTTGAAACTCCTTTAGTTCTCTTTACTAAAGCCATCTAACCGCATTTCTTCCTCTTCTCCAAACACATTTCTTCCTCTTCTTATCCTTTCTTTTCTTTCCCCATCCCTTCCAATCATCCCATCCAAATGTACTCTCATGATTCTGTTCATATTCCGTCCATGAATATAGCCAATCACAAGTGTACGTGGAAAGAAATGATTCCATCCTTAAATTTAGGACTAAAATAATTCTCTTGTTATTCTTAAATATGATGACAAATATAACTACATGTGAAAATTAAATTAATAGACTAACAATAAAAATAATATTCTTGTAACGACCCAAACCAACTGGATCCGGATCATTAAACGGGTCATTGCCTAACCCTAGATCATCCAAGGGTAATACGGTCCTTTCACTTTAAATTTGTATTTTAAAGTTCAACAAGGGCAAGATAGTCATTTGTCACAATTCTAATGGTTTGGGACTCCAAGGGTATAATAGTCTGTTACTCGTGTCACAAAATAAATAAAATAAAAATCCAGGGCAATATAGTCTTTTCCTTGTTAAAATATGATTATTGTATTTTAATTGGGTCATCAGGTAAATACTCACAACATCAGTTGGGTGCCAAAGTGTAATTAGGGAAACTAAATAGAAATTACATATGAGACAGGAACTGGTCGACGTATATACATTATACGTTAGCTGGTTTGGGTTATGAACAGTGGAAAACCCACTGCCGAGATACCGGTCGACGTATGGGATTTTACATCGACTGGTTTGGGACGTGCAAGATGAAAAACTTACTGTCAGGATATCGGTCGACGTGTGGGAAGCTACACGTCGATTGGTTCACGCTACTCGGTCGACGTATGGGATTTTACGTCGACTGGTTGGGTTATCCTCACTCACTGTCACCGAGATACACCAACTTTCAAAGCCAATCACCCACACCACTACACTCACTTACATACTTAAACACATTTTAACATCTAATTACTATAACAACAACCACATTATTAACGTAATTTACAACACGTTATAGAAAATACACTAAAAGATTTAGTGTAACCAAAACTTAATTACATTACCCAAAATGGACCTAAATATATTACATGTTACAAAACAATGCATTTTAAGCCAACACTTTACAAAATTAGGCCCAATTACAAAGATAGCAAAAAGAAACATTTTTCTACTCCTAGCTACAGCAAGGGTGGATTGTTGTCCGCTATTTTTTTTTTCGTATCTTGAAAAATGTTAAATAAAAAGGGGTAAGCAATTGCTCAGTAGGTGGTGCTTAAGACACAGCTCTTGTGACCCCATGAATCCAAACAATGAATAGGACAATAGGAATTAGGGTCATGCAAAGCCGGGTAAAAATACAATATCAATCTCAAGTTCAAAACAATTAAATGTCGTACCATGAATGCAATGCCGTGCATGTCACTCTCCATTTTCAGAAAAACATCCGTCATTTCACAAACTGTTAATATAACCCGCCATTTGGTGACTTCGCAGCAACATGAGAGAAGGATTGGCTACTGTCCCTGAATTTTGGTACCCCCGCAACGTCATTTTGGGCCCAAATAGCTCAACCAGGCTAGAGCAATCTCCCTAATTCCCTCTAGGTTATATTAACACACCGGCCCTTTGGTCACTCCGCGGCGACCGGGTTTCTCAAAACCACTTTCATAAAATTTCTTCCTAAAATCCCCTTTTTATTTTCATTCAAACACTTGCCTTTTTTATTCATACCCAATGCCATGGGATGCATGTCATATTTTTCTCCAATAATATGAGCATAAAAGAAATTCATATTACACAATTTAACATGTTCTTTTATAGCAACATCTAGAAGGTTAGTAGACATCATAGGTATGTAAATTAATATCTAAGCATGCTTTTCACCTAAATTCATTAACACATATAGTCATAGATTTTTTAGCACAACAATCATGTTATTTTCAAGGCAATCAATTAAAGTAAAACATTCTTTTCATATCAATTTAATTATTTCACATAATCATATGTTTCATCTACACAATTCTAGTTACTTTAAAAGATAATCAACACAAATTAACATGTTAGGACATAAACCAAGTAAAATCAACTCACTAAGGTGCAAGATTGTGTGGATTAGGGACCTTTATCTCAAAAGCAATGAAAAGCCCCAAATTTCTTCCTCAACCCTAGAATTTAGAAGTCCCTTAAATGATGATCAAATTGAAATTGGCTCCAATCAACTCGTAGTTCTCGTCGTAAGCTTCGAATAGCCGCAAACGGCTTCCAAAATTACCAAGGATTGAAGGAGGAATCAAGATCTTAAGATTTATGGCCAAAAGAAAAAAGAAAATTCAAGAAGAGGAAGTGAGAGAGAGAGTTACGGGAATGAGGAGGAAATGAGACCCAAATGGTCTCCTAAAAAGCTAAGGTGGGTCTCACCAACCAAATTTTATTTTCCTTTTTTTTTTTCTTTATAATTCCCACCACATGCACACATAAAGACATATTTAATTTTAACACTTAAAACACAACAAATAAGAATAAAAAATGATGCAAATGGATCCAATCAAAATACCCGTACGCAACAGTCCCGGTAACGGGGCCCACACGGAACTGTCCGGCCTGAAAAATTGAAAAATACCGAAAATTGAAAACATCACAATTCTTAAGACAGAATTGAACGTGTTTAGCAAATTAGCATTGAAGGGTCTCTTGACGGTTGTCTTTTAACGTACAATAATTTTTTTTTCACTAATAGGAGCACTCTTAAATTAGAGAAAAAAATAAATTTTACGCTCCGTCTGGTAAGAATGAAGGAAGATAAGATGGTAAGAATGAAGGAAGATAAGAGTGGAGGGAAGATAGAAAAGAAAAAACAAACTTTATTTGTTTGACAAAGAAGAAACAAAGAGAGAAAAATAAAGAGGACGGTGAGTCATCTTCCTCCATCACCACCTCCATCACAAATTTTCATCTCTCTAAATATATAGAGTTATAATAAAAGTTTTTAAATTACAATTTTTTTCTATAATTAACATTCTCTCTTATCTTATTTCCTATCATACAATTAACATGAAATGTAGAAGAAATCTAAAAGCCAAAAAAAAGTTTCTAAATAAGCAAATGAAAATGACAATCAAGGGGATATCTATGGAGAAACTGGTGCCTTTGGGTCAACCCGAACCGCCATCAAGTGCACTTGTTCAGCCCTATTAGTCATCAATTGTACATTCCATTCATATAAAATGAGAACTCTAAATTTAATTTCTATTCAATTAACTTTAAACTCACCTAAAAACAGTTTTAAACAAATAAATATATTATGTTAATATGCTCTTAAAAAGAAAGGCATTTGATCTTGGACCCGCCTCAAATTTTGACCCAAAATTTGGATCATCTAACGAAGTTTCCAAGAAACTTCACTGCAATTTACAAGCAATCTTTTCTTTAAAATGGCAAGGATGTTAAACCATTACTGGTTCATAAAATAAGAAAATTCAAGTCCAACGACACGGTATTGGGATTAATTTGACATAATTTATTTCCTTTTAAGTTTAGACTTTTGGATCCATAACCACTCAAATTTCTTGCTAGTTTAACATTAGTCATTTGCTATTAAAACTTTCTTGGTCCTCCACTATGATAGTGATTTAGAAATATTAAAAAGGTAATTCCAAATTTCAAATAAGTTCATTAATAAGTGAAAAGTGAATAATGTTAATTCAGCATGGCAGATGTACAACCAAAAGTTTTAAAAAATAAAAATCTTCAAAAGTCATTTTTATGAAACACCTTAAAAAAAATTGTAAATATGAATTCCTATTTCTAGAGTACCCATATATGTTGGGGCGGATATAAACTATAAATGCGTTAAGTTAAGAATAAAATTTGATAAATTATATGTTGGTTACTAGGCATATTTGTTGAATGTTTAGCCCGAGTGATTACTCTCACTTCTCATTCTCAATCTTAAAACTTGTTGATGATAATTGACTTTGTTGTGATCTATTTATAGACATCCAATTCTACATAAATGTCGTAATTATTTATCTTCTGTAAAACTCTTTTGTATACCCTAAAAAATTCTTTCAAACCCTACAAATATAAACTCACTTGTATATTCTAAAATATTCCAACACTTTCCAATCTTTCATACTTTGCAAAACGTGTAAAACTCTAGAACTTCAGTTGCTTCACCCCTTCTCATTTCACGGTGTCAACTTGTAGTTGTGAAAAAACAGCGCAAGACGGTACGCTTCAATTAGTTAGATGGAAACAGTAAAAAGAAAATAAATGATTTTTTTAATAGATTTTTCAGAGTTTAAATAAGAGGAAAAGTACCTTCTTCCATTTTTTGCAGTCAAATCAGCCATGCTTACAATATATTATTGCATACAAGATGTTTATTAAAACTTGAGAATCAGCTCTTTCAATAGAACTCACCAATCAAAAATAGAAAAAAAAAATTAGGAGAAAAAAAGAAGAAGGGAAAATTAAAATAAAAAGTCCTATTCCTTAAAATGTAATACAACTTAACACCGTCAATTTAAAGAAAAAAGGATAAAAAGAGAGAATGATGGGGCCAAATTCTTTGAGAGAGAGCAAATGGTATGATATTGTTTATTTTGGGTCTAGGTTTACACATTTTTACTTTTTGAATTTTATCTAACACAATTTTACTCAAAATGTCACATATCATTTAGAGATAGTAATAACACATATAAGGACTTCACCTTGATGCAATGATGTTGATCCACATGTGGCTTATCTTCTACTAGCAGCTGATTGTCAATTCACTCAATTGACAAGGTTGGTCGATTTTTGTATGTGACTCATTTTTTGCCAATACCGATTGATATTTTGACCAACTTTCATCACAACACATTTCCCCCACCCAAAAAAAAAAAAAAAAAAAAAAAAATACCGGCATATCTATCCATCATGTTGTCACAGCAACAATTAACTTCCCAAAAAAACATAGCTACCATGCATATCTTTGGAGCGCAATACTATAAAAAAAAATGGGTGTGCATGGTGTGATTGTCCAGTTGTAGATTGTTGGTGTTTGTGGCCAAATAGTCCAAGTTAAGAGTCCCCCAGTCTCATATATATGTCAACTGCTTTTAACCTAAAAATAAATCAAAAATAATAATAAATACTATAATAAATGGTGTGCATATCTTCAACTATAACTTCAGGCTATTTTTAATCAAGCAACCAATAAAAATCGTAACAGAATAAAAATATAACATCCATTAGATAGTTTATAGCATGTATTTGTATCAAAAGTTCATGAAAGTCACGCCATGCAATTGTGGTGTTTTTCTAAGCGCTTTTTATTTCTTGATGTTCTATTTTTAGGCCCTCCGTTTCTATACTTAATAAAGAAAATGATAATATTAGTTATGAGAAGAAAAATAATAATAATAATAAAAATAATAATAATAATTAGCAGAGAAAAAGAAAGAAAGAAAATAATAATAATAATTTTTATTCATATTTGGATAGATAGAAAAGAAAAGAAAGAAAATTGAAATATTTATATTTGGATAAGATAATGGAGCGGAAAGGAAAAAAATAATAACAGTCAAATTACTAAAAAAATAATAACAGTCAAATTACTATCATACTCTTTTAATTAGTTTGGATATGAGTGGAATAACCATTTTTTTCTTTTAATTATTGAGGTAGTTTTAGAATTATAAAAATGCTATTTAATCTACCATCCTTTCACTCTGTATCTTCTTATATTTTTTGAGTGATATCATTTGAGGGATTCTTGTTCCATATCTTTTCTTTTCTCTTTACTTCACTAAAGTGATCTGAACACACTTCTTTCTTTTCTTATTCTTTTTTTTCTTTCCCTATCCCTTCCAATCATCCCATCCAAACATACTCTTATGATTTCGTTCATATTCCTTCCATGAATATAGCCAATCACAAGTTTACATGGACAGAAATGATTTCATCCCTTAGGACTAAAATAATTCTCTTGTTATTCTTAAATATGATAACTAAATGTGAAAATTAAATTAATAGACTAACAATAAAATTAATATTCTTAAGACAACATTTAACACGTTTAGCAAATTAGCATTGAAGGGTCTCTTGACATTGTCTCTCAGCATACAACAAATTTTTTTCCACTAGCAGCAGCACCCTTAAATCAGAAAAGAAAAAAAAAAAAAAATTAAAAATAAATAAATTTACACTCCGTTTGGTAGGAATGAAGGAAGATAAAAGAGGAGAGAAGATAGAAATTAAAAAAAAAAAAACCATTATTTGTTTGACAAAGAAGAAACAAAAAGATAAGAATAAAGAGGAAGGTGAGTCATCCTTCCACCTCACAAATTTTTATCCCTCTAAATATAGACAATTATAATAAAAAAATTTAAATTATAAAACTTTTCATATAATTAACATTCTCTCTTCTCTTCTCTCCTAACATATAATTAACATGAAATGTAGAAGAAATCCAAAAGCCAAAAAAAAAAAATCTAAATAAGCAAATGAAAATGACAATCAAGGGGATATCTATGGAGAAACTGGTGCCTTTGGGTCAAACCGAACCGCCATCAAGTGCACTTGTTCGGCCCTAAAAGTCATCAATTGCACATTCCATTCATATAAAATGAGTACTCTAAATTTAATTTCTATTCAGTTAACTTTAAAATTAATTTCTATTCACCTAAAAACAACTTTAAACAAATAAATATATTACGTTTATCTGATTTTAAAAAGAAAAGCATTTGATCTGGACCCGCCTCAAATTTTGACCCAAAATTTGGATCATCCAACAAAGTTTCCAATAAACTTCACTGCAATTTACAAGCTATCTTTTCTTTAAAATGTCAAGGATGTTAAACCATTACTGGTTCATAAGATAAGAAAATTCAAGTCCAACAACACGGTATTAGGATTGATTCTATATTAGACATAATTTATTACCTTTTAAGTTTAGACTTTTGCAGCCATAACCACTCAAATTTCTTGCTAGTTTAACATTAGACATTTGCTTTAATGATTAAAACTTTCTTGGTCCTCCACTACGATAGTTTAACTTGCTTTCAAAATTTTAAACTTCTTGAAAAATAAATTTGATTGAGTTTAGGTTGAACTAACAAAGAACATATTGGGTAGTCTGCTTTAGAATTACAATCACTCAAAAAAAAAAAAATTAAATATAAATTTTTTTGGACAAACAAGTAAAATTCACAACCTATAATTGGGTGAATTTAGGACTTCATTACTGAGCAATAGAGCATTGATTTTAATTATATATTTTATTAATTGTATATCTGTTTACCCTTACTTTTAAAAAATGTTCTGTAGTGACTTTAAAATAAAGAAAAAAAAAAGTAGTTCACAAATTTAAAATTAAATGCTAATAAGTAATTATTTAAAATTTAAATTTTAATAAGTAATGATCTAAAATTTATTTAATAAATATCCTTTTAATAATAAATTAAAAGAATATTTATTAGTTAATAATTAAAGGATATTTGGTGGGCTCTCTAGTCTCTTCATCAACACGACCATCTACAATTAAGCCAATAAATTACGGAGTAGTTAATTGTTGGAAAGTCTTTTTTTGGGAAGTTAAAAAAAATAATAATAAATAAAAAAATTTGATGACAGTTTCGTAGCAATTTGTACCTAAGTCACATAAAGTAGGAGCGTGAACGAGAGCGAATTCGAGAGGGACAGCATGAGAGCGGCATAATTAAGTCATAAGTAATAAGAATTTTAGTAAAAATGCATGCGGGGAGAACGGGAGTGCCGACACCTGTTAAAAAGGATTGTGTTCCTTAAGTTTGTACTCAAATTACTAATTACTGTATAATAATTTATTACTATAAAAACATTTTACATAATAAAATTAAAATGGTTATTTATGAGTATTTAAGTATTAAATTTGATGATTATATATACATATATTAATTTATTATTTAAATTTGATCACTAAAATTTCTTATTTGGAAACTGGACACAATTATATCCCATTCGAGACTTTTCGGTTCCTCCTCTTCCCTGTATATTCATTGCGTTTCCTTTCCTTCCTACTCTTTCAATTTTCCTCCTGCCAAGATCACTTTTTGAGAGAGGGAGGGAATGGAGGAAGTAAAGAAGCTTCGGTGCCAGAGAAATGGATGCGACGCCGTGTTCACGGAGGACGATAACCCCGAAGGTTCATGTAGATATCACGATTCTGTGAGTGCCTTCTTCAATCACAATCGTTCTCTCTCTAACCACTTTTTGTCAAATTTTATTTGAGTTATGGCTTGTGTCACATCAGAATCCAGATGAGTGTTTCTTCATCTTTGTTTTGTTTATTTAATAGTCCACATCTAGTTGAGATCTCGTAGCAGTGATGAACAGGATTAACTTGATATGCATACACACCCGTGTATTGATGTGTGTTTATGTATGCATATAGCCAAATGTGCCCTTAATTAAGTTGATTAAAATGCGGATGGACATTTTTAGGGCACAAAGATTTGTTTTTTAATTTATTATTATTATTATTGGTGGTAAAACTATTGGAACCTTAATGAACTATCCGTAGTTGTAATTTGATAATGTACTTGCGTAATTGAACTTAACAACGTTGACTCTGACGTCAGGGGTTCCCCAAACCCTGACAATTCCACGACAAAATTCTCATTTAAACACTTGGGGACCATTTGGGGCTGGCTACCTCCACCCTAAAATCATCCGTCATGCTTCTGTACATACTTCATCAGAATCGTGAATGATTGAAATCTGAGTATTTCTTTTACTTCGGTGCATTTGATTCTCGGTAACCTTTTTTCTGATTGTTAAAGAATAACATGACTTTACCAATTTGTTTATTAATGGATTATGTGGATTTCTTTTGAAGGGCTTTCTTCTCACTGTTCCGAAAAAGGTAAATTGAAGTAGATGTGTTAAAATGTTTCTACTAATCATATATCTTGAATTACATTCAAAAAGTTAAAAACTTTCTGGCACTATAGTTGGAGATTGAGTGCTATTATTAGCGTAATTTAGCTAAGCTTTGTTTGTTGTTTTCCTGGAGTTCTCTTCCGAACTAGCTGCTGCTTAGTTTATAGTAGCCTTTACTGTTTAGAATCTTTCTTGTTTGAGGCGTTTAATGTTTGTTAATTCTTTGCTGATTTTCAATTCTTATGACTGGATTTGGAAAAGTTGGTTGGGGAGGTTTTTGATTATGGAAGATAGCACCTAATGACATCATAAGTGGTTCTGCTACTCTATTGAACTGAAACTGTGTTGACATGTTCACTTCTTCAACTGTATAGATTATAGTAACTTATACTGTGGCCTCCTTCACCAATTTGCTGGGTCAAATCTTACACATTTCTTTATGTTAGCTTATGAAATGTTGTATATATAAGACAATCTAACATTGTTTGTATGGTGCAGACCTTGCATATTGAATTAATCAATTTTGAAATATAAAGTCTATAATATGCATTTACTAATTAAGCTCTCATCTTGCATGCTTGGGCTTGTTTTGCTGTGTTGGCATATCCATTTCATCAGGGTGTAAGTTGAATTTTCATCCATCTAATAAGAGATTTTCATTGTATTTTCCAGCCTCTATTTCATGACGGGATCAAAGAGTGGAGTTGTTGCAAGAAAAGAAGTCACGATTTCAACTTATTTCTAGAAATTCCAGGGTTTGTACTTTGTACTGCAGTTTCTTTTTAAGCTCTATTTCCCCAATGTGAGAATTTTAATTTTGATACGTTAAATTAATGTGTATTCGAAATAGGCCATAAACTAAAACCACAATGCAGGAATTCTGTTACTGATATAAACTGCTTGATGCATGGCACCACAAAATGATTTTGAGTTCATATGATCAGGTAGGTTTTGAAATTATTGCATTTGATCTTAGTAACATTATAGTCTATTTGTTTTTATTGATACTTGTTTAATCATATGTCCCATTTGTGGATTTGTTGGATCTGACTACAGTAGCATCCCCAATTGAGGCACAAACATGTTCATTTAAGATAAGCCAAAGCTCTCTATTTCTAGATATGAGGTCTCCACAAGTTAACTAATCTACTACATAGACTTAATTATAAAATATATATAATTTATAAAATAGGATTACTGCTTTCTATAGGTTTGCTTCAGGCTCAACCCTCACACTTCCCAGTTCCCATGGAACCCCTTCCAAGATGGGATATGTTTGCTACTCAACCTTTATTTGTTTATGGTATTTAGAACTATTAGGAATTAATCCATCCAAGATCACGCACACAAATATGCAATGGCAACAAAGGAAAAATAAGATGGAAATCACATACGCAACAAAGAACAAGATTTACTTGGTTCAACAAATTGCCTACATCCATGGGTGTAGAACTACTAACTTTTATTTCAAGACTCTCAACGGATTAACAGGAGGTATTTCACACTCAAGAAATACACTCACTCTTGGCCGTCACTAGCTTCACTCTATTTTTCCTCTCTTTTCTTCACTCTAAATTTTTTTTTTTTTTTTTTTTTTTTCACTCGGCTCTTCACACCACATTCTGTTTTACCATGCCTATTATAGGCAACTATTAGACAAAGGCACATTTAATGTGCCAACATAATCCACTTGTTACGACCAATCATAACTATGTTGTTCCTTTAAATATTTCTTTCTGAATTTCATTTTAGTAATATGATGTCTCCTATCATGTGGGAACTTACGCCACTACCTTTCTTTCCTTTCGCTTCGGCTCCGCAACGTGATCCTTTACAACTCACTGAATTTAATGCATTCACAGTTTCACACTGCACCTCATTTCTTCTCTAATACAATGCTGCCACTGCATTTAATGCACACTCTTCCTTTCACCATTCACCAGCGGTCCAGCGCAGACATCACTTGTCCAATTAATTTGAGCAAACTCAGGAAGAACTTTAGGTGCACTTGGTGACTTTGGAACATTAAGGTTCAATAGCAACTTCAATGAAGAGTGGCATTGATTGCTCTGGTAATTCCATATGACAATTTTAAAATGTCATGTGAAGTATGCAACTATGTCATCATCATTATCCTTGTCTTAATCCCATATGGAAGGGTTAGTCACATGAATTCTCTTTTTTTCAATTTTTTATTACAATCTTCTCTCTTACAACTACTCTATTTTACTTTAAAATCATTTTTAATGATTTCGTCCCATGTTAACTTTAATCGCTCTTTTTGCCTCCTACGATTTATTATATTAGTCTCCCTCTTCTTACCGGAGCATCTATAGAATTTCTTTGGTTATGTCCATACTGCCTCAGTCTATTTTCTCTCATCTTATCACTAATAGGTGCCGCTCCTAATTTCTCCTCACATTGTGATTAGTAACCTTGTCTCTTCTAGTCACCCCTTTCATCTATCTTAACATCCCTATTTTCACTACATGAATTTGTTGTTCTTGTTTCTTTTTAAAGCCCAACACTCTGAATCATATAAACTAGTTGGCCTAATAAATGTTCGATAAAAATTTTCTTTTAATATATTTTTTATTCTTTTATTGCATAAAATTTCACTATCATGTCTCCATTTTGTCCAATATGTTCCAGTTCTACTAATTATATCACCATGAATCTCACAATTCTTTTGTATTATTGACCTTAACTATTGAAAATGGTTACTTTGGATAATCTTTTAGTTTAGAAGCATGATTATTATATCACCAAAATCGGACTGTTTATTAAATTTGCATTCCATATATTCAATTTTAATGATTAACTTGATAGTAATGCTTCATAATGGAGAGATATTAATGCAAGTTTGTTTGAAGTGTCTGGTCGGGCATGCTTTGGGAACACAATAAATAGTTTAATGTCAGAGATCTTTGTTGGATCTGTTCCTAACACTCTTTAGTAATTCTTTGAGAAGTGCATTCCTCTTTTCTTTTTTATGATGTCTGCTTGCATATTAATTCCAAATGGGGAAAAGAAAATCATGGTTTGCCCTTGGTGCGGAATTTCTTCTGCCTGTTTCTACGGTAAATAACCATGGTACTGATATATGTGCCATGAATAGGTGAACTAAATTGTCAAAAGTTTCTTTCTTCCATTGATTATCAATCTAAATTTTTGCCAGCATCAGCTGAGCTTTCTTTTAATGATGAAGATGTAAGACAGGTCAACACACAACTGAAAAACCTGTGCAGACAAAGGCAGTTACTACTCTCAAGAAACCAATTCCTGCTGCAGCTCTCACAGCTGGTCCATCTTCAAAAGAAGCTTGCTCTAGGTGCCGTCAGGGATTCTTTTGCTCAGAACACGGTACACTTTCGATCTGCATTCTTAGGTTTAACATAATTTGTGTTCATTGTACCATATTAAGATGTAATAGTAGGATGTCTGGTGGAAGTGAATTTATTGCAGCTAATATCCATGGCTTTCAAAGCAATTAATTAATCTGATTGCCATATGTTAGAATCCTACAAAATGATTTATTTACAGAAGTTATATAATCATTTGATTTATTTTCAGCTAGGTTATCTAATCATATCAAATGCATATGGAACATGGTGTAATAATTTTGTTTACTTGTGTTTTCTTTGGCTGCTGGGAAAAAAGCTGAAAATAATTACAAATAAATGAGGTTTGAATTATTATTATTATTATTCCCCTCTCCCCCTCCCCCCCCCCCCCCCCCCCCCCCCTCCAAGGAATTGTTTGCACCTAGTAGATTAATTTTCTTTATGCTAAAGTCCAAAAAAAAAAAAAAAAATCCCTATTATATGGATATTGTGCCTATAACCCCCTGATAGTCTGAAAAAGTCTTTAATATTAAAAATGTGCAATGAAGGACATCATCATCATCCTTGACTTTGTCCCAAATAAATGGAGTCAGCCACATGAATTCTCTTTTCCGTTCTATTCTATTACCCACTTTGTCTCCTTTTATATTTAATTTTTTTAAAATCATTGTTAATTACTTCATCCCAAGTTAGTTTTGGTCGGCCTCGCTGTCTCTTACCTTTTATATAAATTACTAATCTTCCTTTTCTTACTACTGCATCAGTGGTCTACGTTTTATGCGTTCTTACCTCCTAAGTCTACTTTCTCTTATTTTATCTCTAATAGGCGTTATTCCTAGTCTTTCCCTCACACTTTGATTAGTGAACCTATCTCATCTAGCCACTTCTAGCATCCATCTCAACCTTCTAATTTCTATCACATGACTCCATTGTTTTATTCTTTACTTTTTTTAACGACCAACAATCTGCACTGTATAAGATAGTTGGTCTAATGAATGTTCTATAAAATTTTCTTTTTTAACTTGTTTGGTATTTTTTTATCACATAAGATACTACTAGTATCTCCATTTTGTCCATCCCACTTTGATCCCACTAATAATAATATCATCATCTAACTCTTTTTTTTTTTTGAATTATTGATCATAAGTATAGAAAATGATTATTACGAGTAATCCTATGTTGTTGGATTGTTAATTTTATTTTATCACTTTTTGAGACTTTATTAAATTTACATTATGTATATTGTTTTTAATCTTAGTACAAGTTCCAAATATACACTTTCATCATATGAAGAGGTTATATGCACAATATCCATACTAGGAGGAGGTTACAAGCACACTATCTGTCTTGCAAAAGGGTTTTATATGCACAATATCCATACTAGAAGGAGGTTACAAGCACAATATCTGTGTTGCAAAGGGTTTACATGCAATATACACTTTCACCATATGAGGAGGTTATATGCACAATATCCACACTAGGAGGAGGTTACGTGCACAATATCTATATTACACATTTGGGTTTACATGCTTATTATCCATATTACAATATATATATATGTGTGTGTGTGTGTGTGTATTTTTTGACTTTGTAATAATAGGTACATGGAAAGGGTTTACTTGCAAATTATCCATATTACATTTTGTTTTTTTAGACTTTTTATTAATAGGTACCACAGGGCTTATATAAACAATTTTCATATTAAGGGTTCTTTGCACGGAAGGATACAAGGTGCAATTATTTTCTATAGATGAAGGTTTTGTTTGCACAAAAGATAGTGTATGAGGTTTCTATGCACTGTTTTTTTATTACGCCAGTGGTATTTCCACTCCACCCTTTTCTTTACTATAGGTTTTAAAAAATTGTAATATACTATTCCATGAGACCAACTTAGATTTTTCTCTTTTCCCGATAAGAAAATTAATTGTTTTCTTACTTGACTGGAGGTTTTAGTTCTCTTAGATCCCAATGATGAAAACTTCAATGATACCTTCTCATTGTTGAGCTTCCGCATTTTTCAGTCTACCGTCATAGAAGTTTCCATTGATTTGTAAGCTAAAGCCTTTTATATCCATTTAGGTTCACAAGCTGGAGAAATGAATCCGAAACCATCAAATCGAGCAGCACTTGTGCCTGCTGAAGTCGATACAGATGTAAAAGTCCTTTCTGCTCCACCAAAGAAGATAGTTAATATAAACCAGCCGCAAATCTGTAAAAATAAGGGATGTGGTAAAACTTTCAAAGAAAAGGATAATTATGACACTGCATGCAGTTACCATCCTGGGCCCGCTGTATTCCACGACCGGATGAGAGGGGTGTGTAATATACATTTATCTATTTTGCATTTTCAATCAAATTTCTTTTCATTAGTGTTTGTCCTGCTATTATTGGCTCTATTTTTCAAATTCATGGCTTCTTATTATTCTTAATTTTACAGTGGAAATGCTGTGACATTCATGTGAAAGAGTTTGATGAGTTCATGAGTATACCGCCGTGCACCAAGGGATGGCACAATGCTGATCTGTCATGACTGATGAGATAGAGAAAGCAGCACTGATGAGGTATCTCTTTGTTACACTTCACTTTAATTTAAGTAGGTTGGTGGCTTGATGCAGTCAGCTATATGGTGTTGTGATTTGTAATCGAACTGATCCGTGGTTATTAAATTATTAACTTAACCTATCATTCATGAGATAGAATATACCAGACCATCAGCAGACTTCCCTCTAGCCTGTTAATTTTATAAAAACCTTCAGATAATTTCAGTATGCTTTCTTATTATCCTACAGTTTCATATTGAACTCATGTCACTCTTTATGCTTATGTTAGCATTTCAAATTTACTTGTTACACCAATCTCATCATAATAAATTCAACTTTCTCATTTGCATTAGCCACACAACTTGGGGTGAGAGCTTAAGAAGCCCTTTGTGGATATTGGTTTTGAAAGAATTTAGCATTTTGGAGTCACATTTTTAGCTACTTTAGCTGGGTATTAATGCGGAAATGTGTCCTCTCTCTTTTTCCTTCAAAACCTACCAGTCCCCACTTGTTTTCTCCCAGTTTAGCAGGGCTTGGGGCTGGTGAAAATTCACCCCTCTTCAGTTCTTGACCACCCATCCATTTGCTTTGACTGGGCTTCCAGTGGCTTGCTTCTCTTCTCTCTGTTCTGATAGCAGAGATTGGTCTGGTCAGAAGTTCAGACCTCTTCTGCCCTTGACCATCCATCTGTTTGCTGTGCCTAACTCCTAATGACTAATTTGTCAATGATTTAAGATCCTGCCCTTTTAGATGGCTTGGGCCCACATCTAGTTCTTAATCCACAAATATTTGTTTTTCATGTAATAGACAACTTTATAAAAGGTAAAATCAGCGATACATGGCATAGATGACTAAAGTTGTTATCAATATAAAAGTAACATGACATCAAAATCTCATATAAATGCTATAGTTTTTTTAATACTATTACTTAGCTTATATTTCATATGAAAATGAGGTTTTTAATGTTATTACCACATCTCCAAATAAAATGATCTATTTTTTCTTTTACATTTAATTTCCCAAATATTATTGGGATTATCCCAACATTACTTCTATCTCCCGCTTTATTTTTGTCTAGCTGGTTTCTCAATTTTAGCTCTCTTACGTATATTTGGTGGAATTCACATGGCATGAGCAATTTTCATCTCACGCACGCACATAACTCGCAAGCAACATATATATTTTGCATTTAATTTCCCCTTGAATTTAATTAATTAATTAATTTTTGAATTTTGTTTATTCATTTTATTTTGTGCACGATATGCAAGTTGATTAACTTTTTCATTTTGGACTGTCTCAATCGGCATATACAATCATCAAATCAAAAGTTTGAAAAACAGAAAAATAGAGTTCAAAACAGTAAATAAACAAGCAACGGTTTAATAAATATTTAGAATTTTCTTTAATACAGAACTTCTATATATATATATACATTTTTTTTTTTCCCACTCCATCTAAATGACTGATGGATGTTCATTCTTATGAAAATACCCTTATAGTGCGTGCCGCCTCGTATTTGATGTCACTTTCAAGTGTTCTTGGACCTGATTTGAAAATAATAATAATAATAAAATTAAAAAATAAAAAATAAAATCCAAGCTATCAACTAAATAATTTAATTCCAAGATTAAAATTATATATAAATTAATATATTAAATTCAAGAGTTAGATAAAGAAATATTACACCAAATCAATTGTGTCGGCGATTGAAATGTTGTTGCATCTCCTCTTTGGTCATATACTGTCGTCTACAACTCGATTTGTTGCAATAGACTTGATATTTGGTATGGTCCTTCTCCTGGTGAGCCCGCATGGCATTATAATCATTATATTTCGTTTCACAAATGTTGCAATAACCATTGATGTCAAAGTGTCCCCCGTGAGCTTCTTCGGGAATCGACTTTCTCTTATTTTTTACCTTCTTATTTTTTCCCATTGAATGAGAGAAAAGTAGAGACAAATGATTGAGAAATGACCAAAGATATATTACATGTACTTAAAACGATTTTTAATGCAAAATATAAGATGTATTTAAAGGATTTTTAAACCTAATTTGCATGACTTACTCAGAAAAGTGTGAAATGCCAAGGCATTAAAAAATCACACTTGCATGACACTGCTAGTCTGCAACCCACAAACAAAAGTATGAAATGATACAGGTTTTAAAAGATTAAAAATATCACACACTAAATTAATGATAAGCTAAAGCCTGAAGGAGGAATCCGTGAACCAATTGACTTCATATAAATTCAATTTAGAATAAGAGGTACATGTTGATAGCATGGGATCCAAATAAATACCCACTTTTCTATTTGTGCTCCCAAAATAAATATTCCAATCGAGAGGCCAAAGTTTTCTTTTTTCTTTTTATTTATTTATTATTATTATTATTATTTTATAACGTTACTAATTTAACATTCTTGTATTGAATTTATAAAAAGTAAACTATCATATCATGTGGGCCGATTAGATTAAGAATGTAACTTGGGCGGCCTAATTCAGCCCCACCAAAACTCAACCCGAAAATTTTAAAAATGGACTTTTAAATTTATAAATCGGGCTCAAATTGAGTTGGGTTTTCTCAAAACCTAGGCGTGTTCGGGTTAGGCTCGGGCTCGACCCGAACCCAACCCAAAACCCAAAATTAAAAAAAACTTCCAATAATTTTTATTTTTTACCTTCCAAATGTTTGATATATATATATATATACACACACGTATCTATGTATGTGAAGTGTTGTATTCTAGTTGGTCTTTAATACATATATATAAATATATATAACTGGAGCCCAATCCAAAATCTAAAATTTATAAAAACTTTCAATATTTTTTATTTTTTACCTTCCAAATCTTTGATATATATATATGTAGCTGTATATGTGAAGTGTTGAATACAAATTGGTCTTTAATATATATATGCCCTCAAAAACTTTTTAAATGAAAGGTGGACTACTAATATAGGATAGGGAATACCAAAACTCATACTCTTAAAAAGTTTGATTTCCAAAAAGAAACATTTATTTTGAAATGGAGGGAATAATATTTTTGCCATCAACAAAGCAACTCTCAACCAAGGACCTTGTGGTCCAGTGGTATTTTTTCTACTTCCGAAAATGAATGGTGAGGATTTAAGTTTCCAATGAAGAAAAGTGGGTGTGTGAGAAGTGGGGTGTGTGAGCTTCTTGCCAATAAAAAAAAAAAAAAAAAAAAAAAAAAGATCCTCAAAAAAATAAATTTATATTAACAAAAATAACTAAAATTGCTATCTGTACAAGAGCAACATCACATCTAGGGGTGGCAATTTCCTCTAATCCCGCAATTTTCCGTCCCGTCCTAATGGGATGGATTTCGTAGGCCCCTAAATAGAGTAGGGGCAGATATGGTAATAAAAATTAAAATCCATCTCCAGTTTGGGTGAGGGCGGATTTAGTGTTTAACATGGTCCGCCCCAAACCCGATTATATAAATACATGTGTGTGTTTTTAATTTTAAGATTTTTTTTTTTTTTTTTTTTTTTTTTTTTTTTTTTTTTTTTTGTCACATTAGAGATATTTATTTGTTCATTGTTTTATATTTTTGCATTTCTTAATGAAGTAATGATTTTTATTTTCTATTTCAAATTTCACTTCTGATTTTATTAATAAGTTAGTCACCTCCATTTATTTATCATAATATAATTTAGGGTTAATTTCACCTAGACCCCCTGAGGTTGGCGCATATTTCACCTAGATGGAGATTTGGTTTTTAGCGACCATTTAAACCCCAATTAGTGGCTTAACATTTCACTTACACCCCAAATGTCAATTTTTGGTGTTAAATGATCATGTTACCCTTTGACCTCGTGTTGACTATTTTTTGTGACTAAACTACCCCCAACACACATTTTCTTTTCTTCCTTCTCTCAGACAATCATCCTAATTAACCCACACCATCTTCTGTTGGGGAAGTGAGGCGAGAGTGTAGATTGGCAAAGTGAGACCTCTCTGATATTTGTGAAGAGAGAGAGAGAGAGTGATTCACATATATATAGAGAGAGAATGATTCACATATATATAGAGAGAAGAGCCCAATAAATAGAACAGGGGAGGCTAATATAGGTTGGCGGTTGAGAAGGTTGGGAGATCGGTTCGGCCGTGGATGACTAGCAGTGGCTCAGATGACAGCGACGGCTTGCTCGGGCGGTGGCTATGGATGAATTGCAGCTGTGCACTGGTGAGTCTAACCGGCGATGATGAGGGAGCTCGGCAATAGACGGGATGACTGAATCGGCAGTCAGCAAATGGGATGGACTCTCGGTGGTCAGCTGTGAGATCGAAGCGGCTATGATGAGGGAGCTTGGCGATGGACGAGATAACTGAATCTCAAGCTCGCCGCCGTCATCATTCGAAACCACAAGCTCACTATCATCCGGACGATCCCTGAGCTTAGGTTTTCTGCAACGCGAAAACTTTTCGACGGAGATAATCGAAAGCATATCGCCGAAGGATCTCTAACCGACGGTCAAGATTTGCATTGACAGTCACCAATTGCCGTCGATCGCAGTAAAGAGGACCTCTAACACGCCGTGACTGTTCTCCTCAAGAAGATGTCAATCGGCGCCTGTGGTGCAATTCCAGAGACGGGGTGCGACGGGTTGCTGAGCTTGTCTTTGCCATGGTTTGAGTCCGAGTTCGATTCCGGTTCGGATTCGTCTCCGGCGGGGTTTGTTGGGTCTTGCGGGTCTCGGTGGCAGCCATCGTTATCGAGTTTCGGTTTGATTTTCAGGCTGTGGATTGTTGATTTTTTTATTTTTATTTTTATTTTATTTATTTATTTATTGTTTTTTTCTTGTGGATTGTTGATTACATGGTTTGATTTTGTGAATTGGGGGCGTTGATTGTGGGGTTGTGATTGGATGTAAGATTTGGTTTGTTTGATTGATTATAGAGGTGGTGGTTTGTGGGTGTTTATGTACTTTTTGAGGTGGTGTGTTGGTGGTTAAAGAGGGTGGGTGAGAGAGACTGCAGACGCAGACGAGAGAGATGAAAGATGGGCGCTTATGTCATTTAAATTTAAAGATATTTTGTAGTATTAAAATTTTGAGGGTAAAAAGGTTCATTCGCATGTGTTTGAGGCCAAAAATCAAATTGGGGTCTAAGTGGTCGCTAAAAACCAAATCTCCATCTAGGTGAAATATGCGCCAACCTCAGGGGGTCTAGGTGAAATTAACCCTATACTTTATTGTACTAAATTAAACGAAGAA